GATTAGTAGATGGTTTCAAATTTTTGTTGATATCACAATGACTGCAAGACATTGATGCACTATCAAAATACTCATTATTTTTACAATTTGATATTTGAGAAAATTCACGAACTTCTTTATTTGCAACAAGTATCTGAAAAAAGGTAAAATAAAAAGTTAAAAATATATTTTTGCTTACAAAAAAATACATCTTTGTTGGGAGCACTATGTTTGCTTATTTTGTTGTCATAGCAACACCAGTTATATGGATATGTATGATTCCCTTCTTTATTTATCTCTATAAATAAAATTGGATAAAATAATAATCAAAATAATATTAATTTAATTTGCTCATGTCAGTGTTACATTGTAAATACAATTTGTTATTTATTCTTTATGTTACTTTTTGTTTATATTGACTATTACAATTAACACTAAAAGTGTGCCAATTTAAAGGTAATACTATACCTCGTTTCTGGTAATACTTAAACTATCGTTACAAACGTCATAAGTTTCTAAAATTTCAATTACATTTAAATGATACGAGTTTATTTTTCATTCGTGATGGATGGATCATATCATAACAAAACCACGTGACCATAGCAGAAACTTAACACTATACTAAAGTAGTATTCGTTGAAATGGAAATAACATGCATCTTTTATAAAAAATTAACTTCTTTCAAATTTTAGTCTTAAAAATATTATTTACAACATAGTAATAATTTAAATACAAATGCATGACTTTCCCTCAAAAATCATCCTATTTTAATTTATTAAAAATGAAGCGTGGAATAAAAAAAATTCGGCGATAAGATCTAGTTACTTCTATCAAAAACTTCTATGTCAAATTTTAATTGAATCGGTCCATCAGTTTTTAAAAAATAAAATATTTAAGTTCCAAAAAAAACATTATAATTACATATATTTTTAAAATACACACATAATTGTTAAATATATATATTAAACGTATATATAATATGTATGAAATGCAAGATATCTCTTCATTCAACTGTAATATGTCAATGTAATTGGATAGTGGAATTTAAACTTCCAATTGAAAGAATGCGATAATAATATACAGGGTGACACCCTGAATATAGACCCTGTATATTCTACCAATTAAAAGTTGAAACGTGACTAGTGCCTTTCTGCAGTTTGCAGTGATATGGACAAGTTTTTGCAACAAAAATATGTATATGCTACTGTGCATATGTATATATTTCAATGTTTACGGAACCAAACATTAATTAAATTGTGAAAACGATGAATTTGTAAACGAGAAAAATGTTATCGAAACACAATAGATGAATAATTTTAAATGAGTGATGGAACTACGAAAGACAAACGAATATTAAACGTAAGTTCAGTGTAGAACAATTTTAACAATCAACAAAACTTTGAACAATATAGAGTATTAATTAGTAGGTATAAATTTTGTAAAACATTATAAATAATAATAAACTTTAACATTAAAATCAAAAACAGTGTATTTGGGTAATAAATTTCAATCGAAGATCAAATGTAATCGTAATAAAAATTTGTATTTTATGTTGTTTGAAGTAAATATGTATTATTATGTTTTAAACTTGGTCAATAAAATGTTATATATTGGTAACGTATAAAAATTGTTAATTTCACGGCGATATGTAAAAGAACACCGATCAAATGTGTGTTTTAACATTTTTTAACAGAATACATACAAATTATTTTATTAGAATACGTTTTATATTTATAATGTGCTGAACTATTTATTTCTATTGACTTTCTTTGCAAATTATTTTCAACCTTTTCATATTACAATTTTTTTTATAATGTCCAATGAACGGTTACCCCTTACATAAAATAATCATCCTTATCCTTTTACCAACTTTTCTATACATTTAATGAAAATAATTGTCGTTTTACAATTTTCAGAAGATATTTAAGTTTTTCCATACAATAAAGCGTTATATAAAATAAGTATAGAAATGCTTAATGCATATGACAAAGATTATAGAGTTCTGGATTTGGTACGGCAACGTGAAATACAGGTATATATCTTTGAATCATATAAATCTTAATGTATCTATATTTTATTTGAATTCTTTTACAACTTTTTTAGGATTCTGCAACGTATACAGTTTCACAAAAATTACATGTTACAGAAAATTTGATTTCTCGATTAGGGTTAGAGAAAGAATTAGTTGGACACGCTGGATGTGTGAACTGTTTAGAATGGAATGAAAGTGGACAGTAAGTGTTATTAATTAAATTAAATTAAAAATATTGTAATAGATGGACCGCATAATGCAAAAAATACATATCTTAAAGAAAGCAATAACCTGATTACGTAGTTTTATATAACAAAGGTAAATTAATTTATACTTCCAGAATTCTTGCTTCAGCATCGGATGATATGTATGTCATCTTATGGGATCCATTTCGATATAAAAAAAAATTAGTACTGCAAACAGGTCACGATGGAAATATATTTTCTGTTAAGGTAATTTAACAATATAGAAAACTCAGTTCTTCTTGAAATAATAAGAATACTCAATTTTTTAATTGTATACATGTTTTAGTTTATGCCAAAATCAAATGATAGTATACTAGTATCGGGTGCGGGGGATGGCGAAGTACGAGTTCATGATTTAACGCTCTCTGAACCTATACTTATATGCAATTGTCATATAAATCGTGTCAAACGTATTGCCACTACGTCTACTGTTCCTTTCCTGTTTTGGAGTGCTGCGGAAGACGGTCTTATTTTACAACATGACATTCGTACTCCACACATTTGTAAAAGCAATGAATTTAGTACTGTATTAATAGATCTTGTCAATCATATGGGTCGATATGCAGAAGCTAAATGTGTCACAGTGAATCCAAAACGACCAGAATTAATAGCTGTTGGAGCTAGTGATGCTTATATACGAATGTATGATCGCAGAATGATTAAGTTTTCTCAGGTAATTATCAATATAGGAGAAGCTTAAATTTATGTATCCCCTTGGTTTACAATAAAATCTTATTATTTTACCATTTCTTAGGTGCCTATTATTTGGGGCCATCGCGGTGATTGGGAGAGGGGAAATACACGTCGTGCTGGTGAAGGTGATCCAGATGAGAATATACCATTGGGTTGTGCACAGTACTTTATCGCGGGTTCGTTCATATGATCAGAAATAGCATACACGACTCCTTCACCTTTATCTTCCTCTTTTATTATGTATAGCATAATTGCTTTAACAGAGATTTAATGTTTGATATTGAACAGGCCATCTGCGGTCTCGACAGCGTGACATTAATAGGAGTTTTACTACTACATACTTAACCTTCAGTGCTGATGGGAATGAACTTCTTGTTAACATGGGTGGTGAACAAATTTATTTATTTGATATTAACAATCCAAAGAACGTAAAAACATGTTTCGGTTATACAAATATTTACTCAGGTAATTATATTAACGTTGACTAATTGTTTAATTAAGTTGTTTATAAATAATTATTGAGGAATAAATGTAGGGGACTTTGGGAAGTGTTGCATGGAGAAAGATAATGAGGATAATATAGAGTATGCTACAAAAAATGTGAAAGTCCTGCCACCTCATGTTGAAAAATTAAAATCTCAAGTAAGTTTACTAATTTTATTTGTTAAATCAAGTGTAAGAAGCATTGAAATGAACTTGATTTTTTCATTAGGCTAATGAATGTTTTGAACAACATAACTATATATTGGCAATTACATTATATGCTAAAGCAATTAGTTATTGTCCTACAGCTGCTGTGCTTTATGCTAACAGAGCTGCAGCATATATGAAACGAACTTGGTATGAACATTTAATTACTGTATTTCATGCTTGAATAAATAAAAAATGATACATTAATAGTGTTTTAAAAAAAGCAATTATTGAAATTTTGTATACTCTATAGGGATGGTGATATATATGCAGCTCTTAAAGACTGTCAAATGACATTACTTCTCGACCCAGGACATGTGAAAGCACATTTTAGGTATTAATATGTTAATATTATGGTATTTCATTTACTAAATAAAATATAATCTATTATTAAACGTATATTTTTAGACTGGCGCGTTGTCTATATGACTTAAATCGTGCAGCCGAAGCTGATAAAGTACTTAAAGAATTTCAACAAAAATTTCCTGAATATGCATCTAATTCTGCATGTCAAGCATTAAGAATGGATATAAAGGATGCTATAAATTCTGGTATATTTTAAATCATTATTGTTACACTATTATTATTTTATATTAAAATCTTTCTTTTATCATGATTCTTATGTGATCAGGTAGAGATTATAAAATAAGTCAGTCAATGTATCAAATATCAGAATATGAAAAAGAATGGCGACGTAATGCAATTGACTACAAAATGAGATTTTGTGGTCACTGCAACACTACAACTGATATAAAAGAGGCTAATTTCTTCGGAAAGTAAGCATACATATTGATAATAATTAAATGATCAGTTTTAATATTTATCCATTCATAATACATTGATAATTACCAATTTTTTTTTTCTTGAAGCAATGGTCAATATATTGTGGCAGGATCAGACGATGGTTCCTTTTTTATTTGGGATCGTAATACCGCGAATATTATCCGTGTATTGAGAGGAGATGAACGAATTGTAAATTGTCTTCAACCTCACCCATCTACATGTTTATTAGCTACTAGTGGTATTGATCCAGTGATTAGATTATGGAGTCCCTTACCTGAGGTATTTGTTTTTATTTGTAATTATTGAAAAAATAAATTATAAATACAGTACTTTACTGAATTTTAATATTATTTTTTATGCTTAATACAGGATGGTAGTATTAATGACAGAAAAATTCAGAATCTAGAGGATGCCGCAAATGCAAATCAGATACGTATGAACACCGATCCATTTGTGGTAACGCTTATGAATATGGGATATGGATTTCCTATTCAGCAGGCTGAATACAGTGAAGATGGCGATGAACAACAGGATCAGTCAATTACACAACCTTTGAATTGTAGACCGAGTTAAATTTTTTAAAAATTGCAACTATATATTTGAAGACTTATTCAACGCTATATTGTAGAATATTAATACTTTAATTCTAATTATCTATTTTTTTATTAATTCTTTGTAGCTGTTGACTTTTCAGTAAATAAAATGTTAAACTATATTTGAAATGCTGTTAAGAATATGAAACATTTTCTACAAAAATGGTACAATTACATTATTCTTTTTTCAAAATACTTAACATTTGTGCAATTCTTCTATTAATTTATTGAAATATTAAAAACAATTACATACGAACGTTTTATTGTTCTCTGTATTTTCCCTCAAAGTGCCTTATAACTTAATAATTCTTCTAATTTTTTATATAGTATATAATACATCTAATTCTGAGGTATAAGTTCCCATATATTCTGCAATGTACTAGTTTCTTTAGGTTTCTCTGCAGCAAGACCTAAATAATCTGTAATATTAGGCTTTTTTTGACTTATTCCTTCAGAAAAATAATAACCAAAAACATTTAAATTTTCGATCTGGTTGTCTTCTTTTTCAGAATACTGTTCTATATTTATTTCTCGTTGTAAAGGTGCCTGAAATGAGTTATTAATTAATTATCAAGTAAAAGTAAATTTGTATTTGTAGTGTTACCTCGTGTTCAAATGTATAATCTATGCCAAAAATTGGACATTTTTCAAATGTTTTAAACAATGTTGAAACTTCTTTATATAAAATGTAAAGCTTCTCGGGAGGACTAACTCTGAAACCTAATATATAAGCTCCACTAGATTCTGTACTTACAATAACTAAAGTTGGACCAAATTTTGAATTTTTAATAGTAATCTATTAGGAAAATCAAAACTGTTAAATTCTTTTTTATATATTGATAGTATGTTTTAATACGTTTACTTACATTTGCTATTGTAAAATATGGAATTGATATATTGAACTGATAATTCATATCAGCAAACCACACTAAACGTATATTTGTTACAATAAAAGTTCCAATATTTCCCTAATAAAATATATTATAATGTTTAATTTTTCTGAAATAAAATAATTTTAGTATGTAACCATTGTTTTACCTGTTCTAGTGACAGATTCCAAATATCCTGTAAAGTAGAATGAACTGTTTCCTGTGGCAATAAAGTCAGTTGATTTTCATTCATTATACCACTTCTTAATTTAATTTCTCGATAAATCTTGGATGAAGTGTAAGCTCTGCAATATTGCATTTTTAGAAGAAAATTATAAGATCTATAAACTTAATGTAAATATTTATTATTTGTAGTATATCAATTACAAAACAAATACTTAAAGCTGAGAATAAAACTGTACCTATATATACCAATAACTGATGTATAGTGTCTTGTACTTTTTGAACCTTGATTTGTAAATATAAATTCGTATCTACAATTTCGAAAAGAAGCTAAAATGTATAGTGCTTGCGTATGTCTTCCTTGTAACTACAAAATTAATGTTTTGTTGTAATTAATTTATAAACATAAAAAATATTACATAACATTAACTACTACTACTAACAGTGTGAATAGTTTTAGAATTCACTGTAATAAATGTATTGTACCCAATACCTGTAAAAAATAATCTCATAGAATTGTGCAACTGCTAATAGAAAAAAATTTTAAATAATAAGAATCAGTACTTAAATTGATTCTGGGAAGAAGCAACGAATGCCAGATTACTCTAAGGTTTGTTATTATGAGTCTTCCACTATCGCCTGCATTTCCTTTTGTATCTTCAATTAAATCAAGTTTATCAGCAGTAAACTCTCCCAATCGTAATTGCATGAGACTAAATAAAATTTAATTAAATATATGAATCATTTTTCTTTCAGTACTTTATATAAAATATAAAGAATTTTATCTTTTCCCTTAACAAAAAATGCATATAGAAAGTATAGAATACAACTTTAAATTTTGATACTTCTTTGATAAAATATATTAATTTGTAA